CCGCCACGCCATCTTGAATGTCACGTGGTTTCGATTACCTAATACATGCAGGCATTTCATGTCATTGAGACAAACCTACATGCCTACATCAATGGGCGGTTACACACGGGCGTGGATGGCTTAATACATATACGTGCATACATCAACGTGCAAACAAGAACGTGCATGGCGCCTTTGTACAGACGCTCGCACAAAACTGCAGTCTTGCCGTGCGTTCGTTATTTTGGTCCGAGTTCTCCGAGCTTGACTTTACCGTTCGTTTATTTAAAAAGTGTACTCGGTGCAGCCTCATTCGCGTTCGTTTATTAAAATTTCTGGCACTTTTATACAGCGTTCAACTGCTCTGTTCGCTCACTGGTCACGTGATTACGGCTCCGCTCAGCACGCTCTGCCCTTTGAGCAAAATACCGAACGCAAGGTTGGTATTCTTGCTACAGTATTCCGAGTGTGCATACAAAATTGCACATTCAAAAACGCGACGGTATTTTGCATACACATTGATGTTTTTGTTTGCGCGTTCATGTATGTGCGTACATGTTTTCAGACATCCACGTCAGTGTGTAACCGCCTAATGGGACAAACAAGATATTTCTAAAATGAATCTGGTAATATACCTGTTCAGACAAGTCCGGCGCAGTGAAATTTTTTATCATCAGTGTCACAGTTTTGACCGCTGTAAATAGTTCTCAAACGCTTTGTTTGTGGAATTCTACGAAAAGATTCAACTACTTCCATGATGACGTCTCATAGTTAGCTTCACTTCTCTGTGCAGTGGAAAAAAAATCCTTAGAATAACCTTTGGGGTGCAGAAAATTCTATTTTTAGTTGCTTTATCCAATTATGCCAATATACGAAATTAGTAAAAAAAGCCCATTGCAATAAAATGCGCTTATTATTTCACATTCGCTTCATTCTAAAATATGACGGAGTGTTTCTGTAGAAATTCAATTTATCAAGATACTTTGTACACATAACCCGATAACGTGCGATGTGGGTGCAGCGAAAGTATTATGAGCCATGCGCCTTGCTATAAATCCTTATTGACTCGAACATATAAAAATGACACCATAACTGCACCAAGCAACGAAATTACTCGCCACTAAAATTTATGAGTTATGAAACAGGGAGGACAGTGCGATGTTTGGAAAACAATGATAGTCGAGAAGATGTTTAAAATGTATGTGCATATCCTAAATAAGCTAATTTATGATTATTTAACCCATATAATGAGCCAGCTTTAACTTTCTCTTCCTGACGTGTGGGTTATCTATGTTTAAATGCTTACCAATAAATTAAAAACACGTTTGCACTTTATATTGACTTCCTGATTGACTTTAATTTAATTTTTATTGAACAATGATTATTATCGATAGCTCCTGTAATTTTATTGTTTGTAGATAAAAAAAAATCATTATTATCTCACGATGATATATTTAATTCCTTACAAGTGCAATTATTATTACTCAATGCTTATCTGTAAGTACTTATCATTAACCTGTACTATAGTAATAAAAAGGAAAAATCGAATGACGAAATCATTGAACTAATTTTAATTTCTCTTCCTAAAAAATATGCTGCAAAGAAAACCGTTAATTCATCTTTTAGCATCCCAACATTGCAATTATCGTCTGTGCTAATATAAACGTTATTCAAGCTTCTCGCTAAAACAATGAACAAATAAAAGTAATGGATAAAACTTGCCGCAGCAGCAGAGCGGGCACGTCCCGTTTATTTTTAGATTTTTATTTAGAATTATAGGAAAGTGCTTTACGAAAATACTTTTCAGTGTAGGTCTATTTGAAATGGTTTCATTTGTGAGTGGAAATTTTTTCTTTGGAATGTTGCGAAAAACATTAATGTTTTTCAGAGCTTTGAAGCTTATTGAATTCAATTCTCTATAGTGTCATGCTTTTTTCTCTTCTGTTCAAGTTTGGCTAAGTTTTTGCGAAAAGGCAGTTGGAAATAGCCACATTGGCTTTGCTTGATTTTTGGTACAGTAAATTGCAAATTAGTTGGGGTCGATCAACCCTTTCTTCACGGCGTGTCAAAGGTCATTCGTTTAACTGAATGGCCCCAGAGAGCACTGCAAGATAGAATAAGAAATATAATCTATAAACCGATGTCCTTCTGGAAACTGTTGATAACTTATACAGGTACAGAGCAATATTTTCTTGCGGGATCTAGTAGAAAAATCATTATGATCTGTTGGAAGGTACCAAAAATAACAAGTTGTTCCTATTCATTCTGCTATCGCAGGGAATAGAGAAATCTGTTATATAACCGTGCGTTCGGTATTTTGATCTGAGCTTTCCGAGCTTGAATCTACCGTTCATTTATTTAAAAAGTGTACTCGGTGCAGGCTTACTCGCGATCGCTGGAAACTGTTGCTCGGGATAGGAAAAATGGCAAAGTTTGCCAAAAATACCCATTCAGATTTTGAAAAATGTTTTAGAGGTTGGTTGGGCCAAACTGGTCTTAAGATTCCAAGTATAATATGCATAACCAAGTTTCATGTTCATTTCTCTCGAGAAAAAAAACGCCAAATTGTGATACAAGCATGAAATTTGGCATAGTTATAAAAAACGATATTTTAAGAGATTTGACTCGATAAGCCACCCTCCTAGACTCGTAGGAAACCCGATGCCGCCCTTTTTCCAAAATGGCGGACAAAAATGTGCTAAATTTTAGATTTTTCCAAAATGGGCGATATTATATTCTATACCTACTTACTATATAATTCGAGGATGGGGAATTCAACTAAAATATTTCCAGGTCGATATGACCTTCACTGACCTTGAAAATTGCTATATAATTTCGAAAATGATAATGTTTGCAGACTTTGCATTGAAACATTTTTACACTGCTACCGTGAGAGAATTTATAGCCAAAAAAAGTAATTAACATTTAAAAAGCATAAAAAAACGTCTTTTCTAAAATTAAAGATGTCTACGAAGATCATGGACGGCGCATGAATTTTTTGAAATATTGGTTAGACTTTATAAAAATTTGTAGAAGTCCACTAAATGAAAATGTATGGTCTCCGAATGATTTCACGGCAAATAAATTTAAAAAAATATTCTATCTAGTTAATATGATATTTTTGAGCAAAAAATATCGATATATCGAATATCGATATTTTTGATAGGTACAACCCTATGTACTGCTAGTACGCATCTGCATCTGCACGCCGCGCGCCGTTCAGACAAAATTTAGTATTTTTGCGTTGTTATGAATAATCCGGTCAAAAAATCTCATACAACAATTGCTGCAAATATGTCGAAACTGAGCGAATTGAGACATGTTCTTCCATCTCGACACGCAGCTGATTTTTTAAATGAAGGAGATGGAATACAGTCGACCTTTCAGAAACATAACGCAGTTTGGCACCCAGAATGCCACAATTCATACACTGGTGATCGATTAAGAAGACTTCTGAAAAAACTCCAGGAAGAAAACGATAGTAAGAAAGACGAGCATTTTGCGAAAGAATGTGAGCCTTCATCGTCCCAAGAAGTCCAAACAACTCGCTCTACGTGCTCTTTGGCTCTTTTGTAGGACATGTGCTTTTTGTGTAAAGCCCCGGGTTTTCCAAAAAATCCTCTACAAAAATGCGCCACAGAGAATATTTCTGAAAATGTAAGGAGGTGTGCCGCAGTACTTAAGGATTCCAAGTTGATAGCTCATCTAGCTCAAGGAGACTTGGTGGCACAAGACAGCCAGTATCATCCCAAATGCCTCGCAAAACTCTATAACAAAGCCAGACAAAATGAATGCTCAGCTAAATCAGACACTGATGAATTGGTGTGTGAAGGTCTGGCGTTTGCTGACCTGCTAATTTTTATGCAAAATAAACTTTGCGAATCAAATAACTACGTGTTCAGAATGGCGGATTTATTGCAGATGTACCATGTGAGGTTAGCAGAGCTCCAAAGGATCCCGGAAAACCGGGTTAAACGCGAAAAAACTGATAGGCTTAGAGAAAAAGTTTTGTCTCGTTTTCCAAAATTAGAGGCTAAAAAGTCTGGCCGGGAATATATTCTTTTACAGTCAGAGGCTAGTATCATAAACGCATTCGACCAGGAAGATCAAGATGAAGATGCACTGGGCTTCCATCAGTTTGCCAAATCGCTACGTAAAGTTATATCAGAATGCGAAACTTCATTCACTGGTACTTTTGATGATAGATGTCAGCAAAAAAGTATTCCAAATCGTCTTCTGGCAGCTGTTAATATTTTGTTGTACGGTTCTTCAACTGTTAAGGATTGTCAAGCAACTAAACCTGCGTTAACAATGTCAAATTATTCTCTACAACTTCCACTCAAAAAATCCAAAAGGTAATTTTGTTAGGCATAGTAAACGTAATGAACCCCCACATCCTCTATATTTGTCTCTATCTTCATATGCCCGTGGAAGAGACAAAATAAAAATAGATGAATTACACGATAAGGGAATAGGTGCTTCATACAAAAGAGTGTTAGAAATTTCTGCGCACTTTTGCCAGCTCGTTGTTGAAAGATCTAAGGAAAAAAAGGTTGTGTCCATCTAATTTTCAACATGATTTGTTCACTTGTTATCTGCAGTAGATAACATTGACCACCGCACATCAAGTACTACTGCAATGATCGATTTTCATGGAACAGGTAAGTATATTTAGCATACTTCTATTGTTGGGACCTCCAAGTATATGTGTTTTTTAGGAATCTCACTATTCCAGATAATTGATTCTACCGATAAAGGAAAAGATCAAGAGTTCCAAGCAAATTATCAACAGGTATCAAATCAAGGTCTACAATCGGTTCCTAATTTACCAGACTTTTACACGCAGTTGCCGGAATGTATCTTACTGGATAAGCACCCTCCAATAAACACACCAATATCAGATGACAATATAAAAGAAAAAGTCTTGGATGTGCGTAAGTATTGTGGTTTCGATTATCTAAGATTAAGTACCTATTTTATAGTTTATTTGCTTTTTTTTAGAACCAATTGAAAATGAATAGATGAAGGAAAAAAAACGGTTGAACCATCATATTCATAATGGCCTTTTGGGATCTAACGAAGACGACATTCAACATTTTTCCTGGTCTTCTTATCATGCTCAAGAGCAGCGGGTCAAAGACAAACATAAGGACACATCGGCTTTGATGCCTCTCTTTAATGAAAAATCAAATACTCACAGTATGATCAAGCATTCTATGGATTTGGTGAAAACAACAATGCAATATCTTAATAAGAATCAAACCCCGGTAATGTGTTTCGATCAGCCACTCTACACTATATGTAAAACCATCCAATGGAACTGGCCAGAAATATACGGAGAGGATAAATTTGTTATTCTAATGGGTCTTCTTCATATCGAACAATCTTTTTTACGCATTTTGGGCCAGGTCTTAGAAGGTAGCGGTTGGGTGGATCTATTAGCCAATTCCAACATTATAACTGAAGGATCAGCAGAATCAGTTACAAAGGTATATTTATTATCTCTATAATATTTTTGTTATACATGCAAATTTGTTACTTCTTGATTCTCACCTATAGAATAGTGTTTTAGGTAACTCATATTTTAAGAGCAAGAAGGATGCATCAAATTTCTGCAGCTACCCTTTATTCCCTTCTAATTGATGCTCATGAGAATGAAGAAACAGACAAGACATTACATGATTGGATTGATGAGAAAAGCAAATCCTCACCTATGTTTAAGTATTGGTTTATGGTTCTTAACCTTCAAATTCTATTGCTGACATTTGTCCGATCAGTTAGAAGTGCAGACTTTGTTATTTTTAAGCAGTCTTTGAAAAACATGATACCGTGGTATTTTTTATTTAGTCACTATCACTATTCAAGATGGCTATCTGTTCACATCAAAGATTTAGAAGAACTCCAGCATAAAGCTCCTGATGTATATGAGCAGTTTAGATTAGGTAAACATCCTTTACAACAATTTAAAAAAAAAACACATATTTTTTTTAGGAAAATTTCTGGTGCAGAAATCGACAAGATCATTTTCAGCTTTAGGAGTAGACCATGCCCACGAGAGTGGAGCGATTGGTCTTACATAAGATCCTTGCTCATTGAGACTGTGGTGTATTGGTGGTCCTGAAATACAAAGATTGGTTCAACAGTTTGAAAAGCCTGACACAAACACATCTCTCTTACATCACGAAGAAACTCCAGCAAACCAAAAAAAATTTCTTTCAGACTGTGTTGCCCTGAAGGATGCCTTTTATCAGTTTGAAAACCCTTTTACGATATCCAGTGGGGAGTTATTATGCTTAGGTACTCGTACAGTTGTTGAAAAGAAAGGAATTGACATCCTTTATAAGTTGGAAGAAGATGTCCTTAATTTGTACAAAACTTTTACAACCGAAAGATTAGAGTTAAAAATCAAATCAGTACAGGATTCTATTCCAAGAGTTGACTCAAAAATATTTTTCACAAATAAAAACAAAGCATTAAAAACAGCCACCAATAACTCTTAAGTCGGATGTACAATTATTCTCCAGACTATTTAGTAAGTACTGCCAGAGAATTAGACTTGAATGAATTTTTTCAATACGAAAATCAACAATGGACCTCTTGCACTCAATTAAAATTAGGTATATAATTTATCTGTAACGAAAGTGTATTTGATGTACTACATAAAAGTATGGTTGGTTAATTTTTTTAAAAAATCTTGGAGTCAGAAATTGAAAGAAAAAAAAATCAGATTATTTGAATTTTGCGGTATAATTTTGCACCAATCAAAAATCACTGTTTGTCTAAGGTTTGCCAAATTTCTATGTTCCAAACGAATATTTTTTTTTTCTTTTTGAACACATCGGACAAAAAAGGAGGCATATATTTATCAAAATCGTTTTGCGTATCGACTTTGGTATACAGCTCTACTTTTGCCTTGAAACTTGAGGAGAACGACATCTATTAATTGAAGTATCGACTAGTATCGACAATTTTCTTTCCTTGTCTATAAATGTGAATTAAACAAAGAAATCGATATCTGCACTAATCCGGCACAGTATAAAGTACGAAAACGATAAAAGCGATTTTTGTTTACCGTAGGTCAGTGACCCCTGGCTGGCCAATTTACTTATAATCACAAAATAAACAATAATTAACAACAAAAAACAGCAGGCTGGGGCTGGGGGCAGTGTAATTTGAAGAAAAAAGAAAAATTATGTTTTTGCCTGGGAAAATTTGAAAAGGTCTTTAGGGAAACTGGAAGGTATGGAATACAGACACATAAAAATTACACTCGTGTTTTATTTCCCATAAACCACTTAAAAAAAAAATAATAATTTTAATAGTTAGGTAATTATTGTTTATTTTGTTTGTGCGATGGAGGATGGAAGAGTTTGTAAAAACCGATTCCGGGAACTGGGAACTGGCCAGGAGAACCTGAGATAATGCCAATGCTTTCGGAAAAAAATTCACATGAAGGGTGAAGTTTTTTTTTTTTTTTTGAAGATAAAAATCAAAATGACATTATGTTGGCAATACAATGAAAAATTGTCAAATTTTTTATGTAGAAAAGGCTTGTGTTACCAACATAGCTACTAAATTTTTGACTTGGGGAATTATCTTTAAAAAAAAAACATACTTTAGGTAGGTACTTGGTAGATAGGTATTAGTAAAATGCAGGTGGAGTAGAACAACCTTCTACAAATAATGATTCCCTTATATGCTTCTTATTACGTAGAAACCTCTAAAATTTAGAAGCACAGACTAGTAAATCAGTACCTAAGGTATTCAAATATGGTATAATGAATTGAAAAGTTGGGTTAGGTTTCCCATAGGGATGAGAATCAATTCCATATCCGATACTTACAAATCTGTGAATTCGATAAGTATATCGATTTAGTTGTCGCCCCCAGGAAAAGTTTACATGAAATTCTTGACATCTGGGCAACACTGAATAAAATTGACCAATCAGAAATTTGGTGCCGTGACGTCACGGCACCAAGAAATTTGAACTTCAAACCGAAAAAAATCTGAAAAAAATACAGTTGAGCTTTATTTTGACTCCTCTTTCCAATAAGCAAATAAAAAAAATGCATGCAAGAGGTCCGTAAATGGATCCCTAAGACCTGGGAGCAAATCAGTTTTCATATCTCTTCTTGAAGCTCTGGCTCCTGCGACTGACTCGATTCCGTCGTGCGAAGGATGCGTTTTTGATGGTGCAGGCTTAGTATACTTTTTGAAACCACGAACGGACTTTAAATCGTTTTCTCAATATTACCTTCAACAATTTCAACCATATATCGTAAAAAATTGCTGCCATTACGAAAGCTACTAGATTGGACGTGGCATGGGACTTATACTATGAAAATAGCCTGAAAAATGCTACAAGAGAGAATAGAGGAACTGGCTTGAGACAGAATTATTTGCCGAAAAAGAGTAAGTAAAATTACATTTTAGGTGACCAGTGAATAGGAATATAAACAAAATAAAGTTTGTAATATATATTTTTTTCATCTTTTTAGATAAACTTCCTACCAATACTGGGAAAGGTTTCTGAAAGACTCCTCTAATAAACAAGAACTTTTTACCTATTTGGCAGAAAGTCTCTTAAATACGTTACACATGAATTGTGTGACAAATGTTCAGAAGAATTTGATGGCATCTAACGGTAAGTTGCTGGTAGAATTGCGATCATAGGTATATGCTAATCTTTGATAACCCTTTTCCTAGAAAACATGAAAACCAACTTGAGTAACACCCCTTGCGGAAATATAGAGGAGGCCGATGGAAGAATTTTTCTCCATGTAAAAGATATGGTCCAGAATAAACTAAAATCTATTTTGGTTAGATGCTCCGATACAGACGTGGTAGTTATAGGAATTTCCTTGTTCCACGAATTAAAAGACTTGGGTCTCCATGAATTATGGTTTTTATACGGTGTTGGAAAAACTCAAAGATACATTCCAGCTCACATTATAGCAAATAAGTTGGGGCCTCAGAAGTCACAAGCGCTTCGTGGTTTCCACGCGTTTACAGGATGTGACACTACATCTTTTTTTGCTCTAAAATGGAAGATTAAATGGTGGAAAACATGGGAAGCATGCCCGGGGTCAACTTCGGCTTTCCAATATTTATCATCAAAAGATAGCGTGAAAGAATTACCGATTGATATTATTGCTAAAATAGAAGAGTTCACGGTGAAGCTATACGACCCCAAGAACCAATTGTTAACGGTCAATGAGTTGAGAAAAGTGCAGTTTTGTAATGGTGATAGACAAATATCAATGTGTGCACCAACAAAAGGAAGCCTTATTGAGCAGTGTCGAAGAGCTGCGTACCAAGCCGGGCAAATATGGGGTCGGTCCTTAATTCATAATGAAAAACCTCCTTCACCTGAAGGATGGGGCTGGACATTAAACTCAAATCGATGGGAGCCCAAATGGAGCGAACAACCCCAAATTTGGTCTGTTCTAAGAGGGCTGGAAAAATGTGGGTGTAGAGGGCAGTGCGACAGCATGCGATGCTCCTGTCGCAAGGCGGACCTTCGTTGCACTCCTGCATGTAGTATTTGTCAAGGGACATGTAAAAATAAACAGATCACCTAAATAAAGAATTACGATTTTAGCTGTTTTTTTTTTCCATCATATTTGGCTTGATTAGACATTTTCAAGGTCATATCAACTAGATACCATGTTTATTTTTTTATTTATTCGCCGTAAAATCATTTGGAAGACCATAAATTCTCATTTAGTTGACTTTTACAATTTTTTATAAATTTTAACCAATGTTCCAAAAAATCCATGCGCCGCCCCTGATTGTAGACATATTTAATTTTTAAAACCACGCTTTTTATATTTTTCATATGATAATTACTTTTTTTTGCTAAAAATTTTCTCACGGTAGCAGTTTCAAAAATGTTTAATGCCAAGTCTGCAAACATTTTCATTTTCTAAATTATATAGCAATTTTCAACGTCAGTAAAGGTCATATCGATTTGGGAATATTTCAGTTGAATTCTCCATCTTTGAATTCTGTAGTATAGATTATACTATCGCCCATTTTGGAAAAATCAAAAATTTAGGACATTTTTGTCCGCCATTTTGGAAAAAGGGCACTATCGGGTTTCCTACGGGTCCAGGAGGGTGACTTATCGGGTCAAATCACTTAAAATGGTCTAAAAAACAACTATGCCAAATTTCATGCTTGTATCACAATTTGGCGTTTTTCGTTAAAATTTTGCCCCAAGGAAATAGACTATTAACACACCCCTTCAATTTAAATGTGTTAAAATGTTCAAAAAAAAATCTTCACATACAATCCGCCTTATTCACGTGTCCGCTTGTTTATTGAAATTTTCCAATATTGGATGTTGAGACATTTCAATATTGAAGAGATTTCTTATTCGCGTGTACCCCTTGAAAACGGGATTGTTAGAAATTAGAAAACTGTTTTTTAATTGAATAAGTTGAGGCGGCAACACTGTAAAATTGTCAAAAACCTTTCAAATGTAACCTCAGTTTTCATTTTGTTGTTCTGTTCATTCATAAGTTTATTTATTTATTTATTATTTATTTTAGTGCCCGATTGGCCCGATTTAGCTGACCTCGATTGGAATTTATATTATTTCTTCGCCAGTTATTTGAATTTATTGGCAATTGACATCGTGTCCTGTGGACTTTTGATAAATGCCCTGAGCATAAAAATGCAATGCTTTTAAAATAATCACAGATTTTGAGATGCAATGCGGACGTTCTGCATCTGCATCTGGAAGAAATTGCCCAATTTCCTCAATTAGTAATCTTGCAGTATTTTTTTGAAAACTTGTAGATGTTTTTAAAAATATTTTCTGGCAAATTCAGAGGGTTGCTTATCTCCCGAAGGTTCTTCTTTTCCTAATTGTGCTCAACTTTGCAAAAGTATAGTACGATCATAGTTATACAAGGCATTCTGCTTATTGATTTTCTTAATATACGATTTTTTTATAGCTCATACCACTCACCAGGAATAAAGAGCTTTCTTACCTTCGGTTTTCTTCTTCTAATGCTGCAATTAGCAACGGAAAATTATCCATAATTGAAATCGTTATTTTCCTAACGAGTGCGGA